TTAATGATGTAACCCCTTATCTTTTTTTCAAATTTTGACAAAAAATGGTCAACTGTATTTTTCCACTTGACATGGCTAGATCGATTAAGCCGTTCATTCTGATCTAGAATATATATGATTTATAGGGTCGGAAATGATTCCTTCATTGTGTTATACGCTTCTGATTAATACTAACACCCCGCAAAAAGGTATAAAAACAGGCAATTTTCTCGAATAATCAAAGTTTTCCAAACCTCATAATTAAGCCAGAAATGTGTTAATTTCAAATCGGAAAGCTGTTCTGTGTTAGTTCTAATGGCGCTAACAAATCAGCATACTGCGTTTGTTGATGCTGGTAAAAGATTCTTACTAAAATTATAATAACCTGCAAAAAGGTATAAAAACAGGCAATTTTTTTAACTAATCAGTGTTTTTCAAACATCATAGTTAAGCCAAAAATGGGTTAATTTCAAATCGGAAAGCTTTTCTGTGCTCATTTTTATAGCGCTAACAAATCTGCATACTGCGTTTTAATATTTAAAACATCCAATTTTTTGTCGAATTTTGACAATTTTAATGATGTAACCCCTTATCTTTTTTTCAAATTTTGACAAAAAATGGTCAACTGTATTTTTCCACTTGACATGGCTAGAACGATTAAGCCGTTCATTCTGATCTAGAATATATATGATTTATAGGGTCGGAAATGATTCCTTCATTGTGTTATACGCTTCTGATTAATACTAACACCCCGCAAAAAGGTATAAAAACAGGCAATTTTCTCGAATAATCAAAGTTTTCCAAACCTCATAATTAAGCCAGAAATGTGTTAATTTCAAATCGGAAAGCTGTTCTGTGTTAGTTCTAATGGCGCTAACAAATCAGCATACTGCGTTTGTTGATGCTGGTAAAAGATTCTTACTAAAATTATAATAACCTGCAAAAAGGTATAAAAACAGGCCATTTTTTTAACTAATCAGTGTTTTTCAAACATCATAGTTAAGCCAAAAATGGGTTAATTTCAAATCGGAAAGCTTTTCTGTGCTTATTTTTATAGTGCTAACAAATCTGCATACTGCGTTTTAATATTTAAAACATCAAATTTTTTGTCGAATTTTGACAATTTTAATGATGTAACCCCTTATCTTTTTTTCAAATTTTGACAAAAAATGGTCAACTGTATTTTTCCACTTGACATGGCTAGATCGATTAAGCCGTTCATTCTGATCTAGAATATATATGATTTATAGGGTCGGAAATGATTCCTTCATTGTGTTATACGCTTCTGATTAATACTAACACCCCGCAAAAAGGTATAAAAACAGGCAATTTTCTCGAATAATCAAAGTTTTCCAAACCTCATAATTAAGCCAGAAATGTGTTAATTTCAAATCGGAAAGCTGTTCTGTGTTAGTTCTAATGGCGCTAACAAATCAGCATACTGCGTTTGTTGATGCTGGTAAAAGATTCTTACTAAAATTATAATAACCTGCAAAAAGGTATAAAAACAGGCAATTTTTTTAACTAATCAGTGTTTTTCAAACATCATAGTTAAGCCAAAAATGGGTTAATTTCAAATCGGAAAGCTTTTCTGTGCTCATTTTTATAGCGCTAACAAATCTGCATACTGCGTTTTAATATTTAAAACATCCAATTTTTTGTCGAATTTTGACAATTTTAATGATGTAACCCCTTATCTTTTTTTCAAATTTTGACAAAAAATGGTCAACTGTATTTTTCAACTTGACATGGCTAGAACGATTAAGCCGTTCATTCTAATCTAGAAAATATATAATTTATAGGGTCGGAAATGATTCCTTCATTGTGTTATACGCTTCTGATTAATACTAACACCCCGCAAAAAGGTATAAAAACAGGCAATTTTCTCGAATAATCAAAGTTTTCCAAACCTCATAATTAAGCCAGAAATGTGTTAATTTCAAATCGGAAAGCTGTTCTGTGTTAGTTCTAATGGCGCTAACAAATCAGCATACTGCGTTTGTTGATGCTGGTAAAAGATTCTTACTAAAATTATAATAACCTGCAAAAAGGTATAAAAACAGGCCATTTTTTTAACTAATCAGTGTTTTTCAAACATCATAGTTAAGCCAAAAATGGGTTAATTTCAAATCGGAAAGCTTTTCTTTGCTCATTTTCATAGCGCTAACAAATCTGCATACTGCGTTTTAATATTTAAAACATCCAATTTTTTATCGAATTTTGACAATTTTAATGATGTAACCCCTTATCTTTTTTCAAATTTTGACAAAAAATGGTCAACTGTATTTTTCCACTTGACATGGCTAGAACGATTAAGCCGTTCATTCTGATCTAGAATATATATGATTTATAGGGTCGGAAATGATTCCTTCATTGTGTTATACGCTTCTGATTAATACTAACACCCGCAAAAAGGTATAAAAACAGGCAATTTTCTCGAATAATCAAAGTTTTCCAAACCTCATAATTAAGCCAGAAATGCGTTAATTTCAAATCGGAAAGCTGTTCTGTGTTAGTTTTAATAGCGCTAATAAATCAGCATACTGCGTTTGTTGATGTTTTTAAAAGATTCTTACTAAAATTATAATAACCTCCAAAAAGGTATAAAAACAGGCAATTTTTTTAACTAATCAGTTTTTTTTAAACATCATAGTTAAGCCAAAAATGGGTTAATTTCAAATCGGAAAGCTTTTCTTTGCTCATTTTTATAGCGCTAACAAATCTGCATACTGCGTTTTAATATTTAAAACATCAAATTTTTTGTCGAATTTTGACAATTTTAATGATGTAACCCCTTATCTTTTTTTCAAATTTTGCCAAAAAATGGTCAACTGTATTTTTCCACTTGACATGGCTAGATCGATTAAGCCGTTCATTCTGATCTAGAATATATATGATTTATAGGGTCGGAAATGATTCCTTCATTGTGTTATACGCTTCTGATTAATACTAACACCCCGCAAAAAGGTATAAAAACAGGCAATTTTCTCGAATAATCAAAGTTTTCCAAACCTCATAATTAAGCCAGAAATGTGTTAATTTCAAATCGGAAAGCTGTTCTGTGTTAGTTCTAATGGCGCTAACAAATCAGCATACTGCGTTTGTTGATGCTGGTAAAAGATTCTTACTAAAATTATAATAACCTGCAAAAAGGTATAAAAACAGGCCATTTTTTTAACTAATCAGTGTTTTTCAAACATCATAGTTAAGCCAAAAATGGGTTAATTTCAAATCGGAAGGCTTTTCTTTGCTCATTTTCATAGCGCTAACAAATCTGCATACTGCGTTTTAATATTTAAAACATCCAATTTTTTATCGAATTTTGACAATTTTAATGATGTAACCCCTTATCTTTTTTTCAAATTTTGCCAAAAAATGGTCAACTGTATTTTTCCACTTGACATGGCTAGATCGATTAAGCCGTTCATTCTGATCTAGAATATATATGATTTATAGGGTCGGAAATGATTCCTTCATTGTGTTATACGCTTCTGATTAATACTAACACCCCGCAAAAAGGTATAAAAACAGGCAATTTTCTCGAATAATCAAAGTTTTCCAAACCTCATAATTAAGCCAGAAATGCGTTAATTTCAAATCGGAAAGCTGTTCTGTGTTAGTTTTAATAGCGCTAACAAATCAGCATACTGCGTTTGTTGATGTTTTTAAAAGATTCTTACTAAAATTATAATAACCTCCAAAAAGGTATAAAAACAGGCAATTTTTTTAACTAATCAGTTTTTTTTAAACATCATAGTTAAGCCAAAAATGGGTTAATTTCAAATCGGAAAGCTTTTCTTTGCTCATTTTTATAGCGCTAACAAATCTGCATACTGCGTTTTAATATTTAAAACATCAAATTTTTTGTCGAATTTTGACAATTTTAATGATGTAACCCCTTATCTTTTTTTCAAATTTTGCCAAAAAATGGTCAACTGTATTTTTCCACTTGACATGGCTAGATCGATTAAGCCGTTCATTCTGATCTAGAATATATATGATTTATAGGGTCGGAAATGATTCTTTCATTGTGTTATACGCTTCTGATTAATACTAACACCCCGCAAAAAGGTATAAAAACAGGCAATTTTCTCGAATAATCAAAGTTTTCCAAACCTCATAATTAAGCCAGAAATGCGTTAATTTCAAATCGGAAAGCTGTTCTGTGTTAGTTCTAATGGCGCTAACAAATCAGCATACTGCGTTTGTTGATGCTGGTAAAAGATTCTTACTAATATTATAATAACCTGCAAAAAGGTATAAAAACAGGCCTTTTTTTAACTCATCAGTGTTTTTCAAACATCATATCACATCGCTCAATTAGTTCGCGGCCCGACTTATAAGGAGCAGTAGTAAGCAAATATAGATATTTTTTATCGAAAGTGTCGATTATCATAAGCTCTGTGTAAAAATTATACTACTCTGTGACCACGTGCTTTTAAGTTACAAATTTTTAAGTAATACAACCTTTGGGTTTTTCTACAATATGGAAAAAAAAAGTTTCGTGTCCTGGATAAGCACTGTTTTTTTATAGGAAAAATACAGGAGAAGCAAAAGCTTGGCTTGATAAACATTATCCAGATTCTTCTCCGGGAAAATCAACCATCAAAGATTGGTACAATGAATTTAAACGTGGTCGTGTGGACACCAAAGACGCTGAACGCAGTGGTCGCCCAAAAACAGCAGTTACGCCAGAAAATGTGGCAAAAATCCGAAAAATGGTATTGGCCGATCGCAAATTGAAATTAAAGGAGATAGCTGATGCCTCAAAGATATCGGAAGGCAGTGTGTTTACGATATTACATGAACATTTGGACATGAGAAAGCTCTGCTCGAAGTGGGTGCCGCGATTGCTAACACCGGAAATGACTCCTTCACTATGTTTCAAGCTTTAGACTAAAATGAAAATACTCTGCAAGGGTATAAAGATAACCTCATGAAGGATCTAGGCTTTGTTTAATATTATATTAAACTTAAATAATAAGTTTACTTATAAAACATATATTCCTAGCATAACTTACCAAAAACTCGAGCATGTGCAGGTCACTAATGTCCGGATCGAGTTCGTTAAACTCATTGTAGGAGATGTTGAGGTGCCGCAGCTCCGGCAAACTATAGGTCTCACGAGGCAGCTGCTTGAGCTTGTTGTGGCTCACATTCAGGCGCATGAGCTTCTCTAGCTTGCCGATCTCTGACGGCAGCTCCACCAGAGCATTATCGTGCAACTAAGAGGGAAAAAATGTTTATATTTTAGGCCTCTAGATTTAAGATCCGAATCATTCTTACCGTAAGCACGGTAAGCGAATGCTGCAGGTTCGCGATCTTGGGCGATAAGTGCGTCAGAGTATTAGAGCTTAGGTCCAAGTTTGTTAATGGCACTTGATTCCACCAGGCATCCTCCTCCTTGATGCTTAGCTGCTCCAGGTTAACTGCTTTGCTATCCGCATCCGCCTCGTTGATGTCATACAGGCGTTCGGGCACTGCAACGAAAAAGGACATGGGATCAATTAGAGAGCGCTGGGGCTGCGGCAATAACTACACTACAGGCTTCCGTCTTGAGCTGTGCCTGCTCGGTATCATCCAGTTCCAGCTCTAGCTCAAGCTCATCGTCCGGATCCTCGCTCTCCAGCTCATCTGCCGAGGAGGCCATCTGGAATTCACGGATCTGGTAGTAGCGTCGCCTTCGCGGATAGGGACCGCACATGCAGAACGAGGTGAGCTGCTTCCTGGAGGACGCAATCTTGACTGGTCGGGACGATGCGACAGCGACCAGCTCACGCGGCGGACTGAACCGAACGATGACTGGGCCTGAGGACGCACCCCGTGTGACGGCACCTTTATGGATCGTCTCAAGCCGCGGATGCTGACCAATCAAGCGGCAAATATGTTCCATGCCTTTTTAGGCTTGGCGACAAGGTCAAGTTTGAGATCGGAATCGCGAGATCGTCGATTGCCGATCGCCTCACATGAACTGGAACCACAAGGCGCTGCTGTCGACAAGGCCGAGTGGGTTCCATAGCTCACACTGACACTTCTGTTGTTGAGACACTTTCGGCTTGGCCATAGACTTCCAGCGAAGCAGCTGCTCCTGGGTCACTACTGCTTGCGAGCAAGCTCCTCAATGTAACTACTGTAAATACCTACATATTTCCCTTTAACTCACCGCTGGCCAATGCCTTGTTGGACAGATTCAGATTGCCCGTCTTTCTTGCGAGCTTCCACAGCTGCTGGGTGAGTATGGAGTCGTCTTCTTCCGTGGTCCTTTCGTGGAACACCGGCCGAAAGGAGGACTTGGGTCTTGGGGAACGGGCCATGGTCGTCGCTGTTTGTCGTTGCCGTTGGGACGGCGCACAGCGGGGAATTCTGCTTGCTGTGCCGCCCTTGGCGCCTGCACGTCCAACACCAGGCAAATCGCTCATCTCGTTGGGACAACCGTAGTGGGTGAAGCAGGGGCTAAGGTCGAAGTCGCCGCCGAAAGCTGAACCACGGTCACATTCCTGGGTGCCAAAGAACGTGCTGAAGTCGGTTTTTGCCTTTTGGCAGGAGCTTGCGGGGATGCCAGGTAAGCGGTGCGTTAGAAGTCACCGGAATTGCAGATAAATTCGGGGTTTGGCAGTTTTTTTGTACGTCGTTGTTTTTTCTGTTTTGTTTACTGTCAGCAATCAGCTGGTCGTTGGTCGTTACCCAACACTAATATCGTTGGTAGTTTATTTGCAACGGTAATTATTTTCAAAAATTTAGAGCAAGTTGGTGATTTAACTTTGTTTTACTAATTACTTTTACATTTAACTTTAATATTTTAAATATGGCTTAGAATTTAAAATGGCTTATAAATTAATAAATTGATCTATACGACACAACACGTTATTGAGGAATAACTAGAATTATATGTATATTATAAATATAATAAAGCCAAACTAATTTGTATTCAAGTTTAATTTTCATTTAAACAAAGACTATGATAAACTAATAAATAAATGGCTTAAAGTTTTTCTATTTCCGTTAAATACCTATTAATAAACCAACGATGTTGTGGAACAATAAATTGATTGCCATAGACCTATTTAATAAATTAATTAAGTACTTCAGTTACAAATAACATATCTATCCACAGCTGCAAGCAGATATAAATTAAAGTAGATTTACAGTCCCTAAATGCGGCAATGTTTGAATATGTTACAATGCACCTGCTCCTCCTTACATAATATATGGAATCTATCTTCTATAGCTATGTATATACTATGTTCATCGGAATAAGCTTAGAACGGCAATTGATTTGGTCGTGAACTTAAGTCTTGGTTGGGTGATGAGCACTGCGTAAGCCTCTATCAGCTTAAAAGGCTTAAGTCGCTACTTACTTCATAATCTCGTGACCAGCTTTCCCCTTCTCCTTCGCCTTCGGGGCTTCTGTGGGGGGTACGGAATACATATACATTAAACATACAAAAGTGTATTACTTTAGAGCAAGGTCAGCCACAAAAGTCAGTCAGTGGGGTGTATTAGATTTCCGCCGACTGACTGACTGCATCCACCAAGCTGGCTGGCTGCTTCCCCACTATATAACTCGTGTGGCTTGGTGGGTGGGTGGAATGGGCGCTTGCCGAAGCGGTAAAAATGCTGAGCCACTTGTCTTCGCGGTGCCCCTTGCAATGGGTCTCCAGTCTGGCAATGGGCCTGGAGCTGGGGCAGTAGTCGTCTACCGGTGTGTAGCTACGTCGGCGACTGTCAATCAAAATTATGAATAACGCTGCCAGCGAACTGCCTAGGGTCAGTTGCCTCCAATTGGCTACCGCCCACCCCAAGACCACCCACATCCAAATCAGTGGCTCATGGGCCACCCCTCCCAACTAGGCGACGCGGTGAGAGCCCCTCGGAGCATTTGCCAGTTGTCATTTGGTTCCCATTGCAAGCGGACGGGCCACGTGGACTTGGATTTGGTTTGCTTGTCGGAGGAGCCCCCAGTACTCACTTTACTTATTTTCGCAATGGCAGCTGGTGTCTTCAAGAGCTTTATGCGCGATTTCTTTGCGGTGTGTTGCAAGCGTGGTTATTGATTAATAACTAAAAAAATTTACAAATTTTGGCTAATGGCTTCCAAAATAAAATACCCAAAGCTCTGGCTGACAGGATTTGAAATGAAACGTTGAGGTTCATTGTCGGCGGTTAAGTAGAGCTTGAAAAGTGCAGATAAATGTGTTATGTGGTTAACTTAAACTTTAAATTTATAACTTCCTCAAAAAGTGAACCAATTCTAAGCTTAAGGTTAAGACTGTTCTGATTTCTTATACATTTCCTATGTATAAAATTTATACATACTGTAACCAAATCGAGACCCATTGAGAGGTCCTTGAAAAAGCGGCTTTCAGCTGATGAAATATTTCGAATGGGTAGAAGCATGGCAGCCGACTGGATAATCCCAGCTAATCCAAACCAAAAATGCAGCCAACTTGGGCGGTCGTTAGTCCAATCGAGGCTACTTCCAACGTTAAAACCTATTCCTCCCCTTTTTGCCAGCAGGTGAAATACGATGACCAACAGAGTGATCCCCAATCGGAGCGTATAGATGGCAATGGCCGCCACTATCCCAACTGCTCCTCGGATGTTTGGTTACGATCCTGCGAGCGTGAGATTGTCGATCCCATTGAAGGCCATGTCAGTGGGCACATACCAAGTTGGATAACCGGCAGTCTTCTCCGGAATGGTCCCGGCAGCTGGAAGGTGGGTGACATGACCTTTGGCCACCTGTTCGATTGCTCGGCGCTGTTGCATCGATTCGCCATTAAGAACGGTCGTGTAACTTACCAGAATCGATTCGTGGACACGGAAACGTTGCGAAAGAATCGCGCTGCCCAGAGGATCGTGGTCACAGAGTTTGGAACGGCGGCCGTACCAGATCCCTGTCACTCCATCTTCGACAGATTTGCAGCCATCTTCCGCCCGGACAGCGGTACTGACAACTCGATGATTTCCATATATCCATTTGGGGACCAGTATTACACGTTCACCGAGACGCCCTTCATGCATCGGTAAGTGGACTCTTTTCTCTTTCAAAAGAGGGAGAGTATCTATAAAGTTCTGTATTACTTAGGATCAATCCTTGTACCCTGGCCACCGAGGCTCGAATCTGCACCACGGACTTTGTAGGGGTGGTGAATCACACCTCGCATCCGCATGTCTTGCCCAGTGGCACCGTCTACAATCTGGGCACTACAATGACAAGATCTGGGCCGGCTTACACGATCCTTTGCTTTCCACATGGACAACACATGTTCGAGGATGCTTATGTGGTGGCCACGCTTCCTTGCCGCTGGAAACTCCATCCTGGTTACATGCACACCTTCGGGTTGACGGATCACTACTTTGTGATCGTGGAGCAGCCGCTATCCGTATCCCTTACGGAGTATGTCAAGGCCCAGGTCCAAGGACACAATCTCTCCGCTTGTCTCAAATGGTTCGAGGACAGCCCGACACTGTTCCATCTCATAGATAGGAGCTCAGGAAAACTGGTCCAGACCTACGAGTCGGAGGCCTTCTTCTACCTGCACATCATCAACTGCTTTGAGCTGGATGGTCATGTGGTTGTGGATATTTGCAGCTATAGGAATCCCGAGATGATTAACTGCATGTACCTGGAGGCCATTTCCAATATGCAATCGAATCCCAATTATGCCTCACTCTTCCGTGGACGCCCTCTGAGATTTGTGCTGCCTTTGGGTACAGTTCCACCCTCGAGTTCTGGAAAGCGGAAGCTGGTAAGGTCCTTTTCGCTGGCAGGACTAAGTCCTCCCCAGGCTAGCCGAACTATGAGGCACTCGGCTTCTCAGTATGAGGATATCACCTATATGCCCACCAATGGCAGGCAGGAGACTCCGGCAGAGGAAAGCCCAAAAAAATACGAAAAGGCTGACGATAATTCGATAAATCTTGTGACTTTGGAGGGCAGTGAAGCTGAGGCCTACCGGGTCACTAATGGCATATTCCTGCGGCCAGAAATGCTATGCAACTGGGGCTGCGAAACGCCCAGAATATACTACGAGCAATACATGGGAAAGAAATATAGGTACTTTTATGCCATCAGCTCCGATGTGGATGCAGAAAATCCAGGAACTGTAAGTGTTACTCGAATTCCTTCAAATTAAATATTTTAAATTACTTTCTTTGGAAGCTCATCAAGGTGGATGTGTGGAACAAGACCAGCCTGACTTGGTGCGAGGAAAATGTCTATCCCAGTGAACCCATTTTTGTTCCTGCTCCAGAACCGAAATCCGAGGACGATGGCGTTATACTGGCCTCTATGGTGGTTGGTGGCCTCAACGATCGCTATGTGGGTCTGATAGTGCTCTGTGCCAAAACTATGACCGAGCTGGGACGTTGTGACTTCCATACCAACGGACCAGTGCCCAAGTGCCTTCATGGATGGTTTGCACCCAACGCAATTTAGGATCGTGCCTCAGCACGTCCAGTATTACGCATAGACTAAGACTAGAGTGACCTTTTTATTAACTTAAAACTTTGGATTCAAAATATTTGCAATAAACTCCTGCCACTTGCGCTGGAACACCCTGTTGATCTTCCGCCGCTCGTCTGAAGTTAGAATGGCGTACTTGATGGAGTTCAAAGCCAGCTGCTTGAGGAAACGCAGATCGGCTTCCGCCGGAGCTAGGGCCATGAAGGCGTAGTAGAAGTCGTAGCTAAGTCCTTTGGCACCCCACACGCCTGGATCATCGGATGATATCACAATGGGAAAGTTCTCGGCGATCAGGAAGCTGGCCGGATGATTCCTTAGATCCCACACGAAGCCGAGGACCTGATTTGAGATGGGATTCACTTCGATGGCAATGTTGCGCTTTTTGATGGTGGACCACAGCTGCGGGTGCTTGGGCAGAGCAAAAGCGTGCCCAATACGCTTTGTGTTTAGCAGGATGGCGTCCATCATGTTCCAGTCCGTTCGCCCGTTCCAATCTGAAGGGTTAGTCCAATAATATATGAATAACTTGGGAATCCAAGGAATCCTAGGAATCTTACTTGTCTCGCCGGCGTGGAAGAAGTAGTTGGCTGTGCTGGGAAGATCGGACAACTGGTTGACATACTTATTAAGAGGATCGCCTGTGTCCTCCTGGCCAATCATATCGAATCCTATCACAAAGTTTGGCTTGGCATGGCTACAGAAAAATATTATATATTATATGATATAATTTTTATTCATATTCGTAATTTGAAGAAGAAATTCGACCTTATAAGATTGTATCGGAAATCTATCATCCCATGTTAAAAAATACTTGATATGACAATTTATTTGGTAAATATAAGTTTTTAAAATAAATATAACTAAGCCAAAAATACACTAATTTGAATTCGGAAACCATTCACATGCTAGATTTTATTAGGTTAACAAATCTGCATACAGATGCAGATTTAAAATGTAAGAAATTCAAATTTTTGTCAAATTTGGACAATTTTAATGATGTAACCCCTTATAAAATTTTCAAAATTTATAAAAATTTTGTAAATATAATTTTTAATTCGGAGATGGCTTAAACGATGCGGCTGTTAATGCATATCAAGAATATATATGATTTATAGGGTCGGAAACGACTCCTTCCCTGCGTTTCAAGCTTCCCTGCGTTTCAAGCTGATTATAATACCCTCCGAATAGGTATAAAATCTTACTGCAATTGCTTGAATGTAGTTATACGCCTCAACATATCCTCCTCGCTGGCCCGATTCCGCTTGGCATATATCACTTTCAGACCCACAAAGTCATGATGTTTGGCCTTGAACTCCTCCACAATGCGCTCCAGCTCGTTGGCCACCTCCAGGGTACTCAGAGTTCGATTGTTATCGTCGTAAAGCTGCGTTAAGTTAAAGATAGTCAAAGGTTTAGATAAAATATAAAGCATACATAGTTTTTAGGGAATAAATCTTATAGTTTCTTTAGGTTTAAATTAAGACAATGATCTACCACAAGAAATATATTACCAACCGGCGAAAGAGAGGCTCTAATCTCTGCGTAGATAATGTTATCCTCGCACAGCTCCTCCAGCAGACGCTTGTGGTAGGCACAGTATGTGGGTCGATATTTGTAGAGCCGATCAACGGTGGTGAAGACGTTCTCAAAGCGCTCCCATATCTTCTTCCGGTTTGGCAACATGGCTGGATTAATTTAAGATTTAACGGTAACGTTAGACAGCAGGCAAGTCTTAGTAATTATCATCACCTTCCGGCCTGGGTCCCAGCATATTAATATGCTTTTCCAGCTGACGCTCGTACTTGGCCCGATCCTCGGCATTGATCCGCTCCGTGCACACATTCTGGACTTCGCTGTGGCACCCAGCTTGATCGTAGGTAAACACTAGCAGTCCGTCCACGTTGCGGCAGGTGTACAGGTTGTTGGTGGTCGTCAGGTTGCCGATGATCCACCGCGAAGTGACCATACCCGTATTGTGACCGTGCAGGAAGGCGCCCTTTGGCATCTTCTGAATCAGCCGGAAGACCTCGCTCTGGCGCACATATTGCCTGCCCTGGAAGAAGTGCATGGCCGGGGCATACTTCTCCGGCGTCTTAAGACCTTCAGCTATTTCCGCCCGTTTGGCGTTCATCAGGATGCTGTTGGCCTTCGCCTCGTCGGAGGACAACCAGATGTTGCCTCCCAGCGAGGCCAGACGCTCCGCTTCCATAATCTGCTCTCGTAGGGTTTCATAAGCTGCTAGAAAATAGATTAGAATTTAAAGAAATTCAGAAGTTTTTAACGGCTACCTTAAAGAGGAAAAATAAACCTAATTAAGCTTATATATATTATTAGCTTTAAAGATATATGCGTATTATTAATGAAACTTTAAGTAATGGTATTTATTGAGCTTTCAAAATTCGTTTTCAAAAATTTATATTGCGATTTATATGGCGGTAAGTCAGTTTAGTATTTTCTTAAGCTTCCCGTGGTAAGCTTTAGCTTTTGAGCAACGGGCACACTATTCGGCAATCAACAAAAACACAAATATAAACAATAAGTTTCTGCATATTTACGCCGTCTAGAAAAGATAATCTTAAAGCCCTTGGGCGCACCAAGGAGTTTTAAATCCAATTAAATGGAGGTGTAAGCATGGACTATAAAGAATCCTATCAAAAAACCTTCTTCTGACTTTCCAATTTCAGGAAAAGCTGTCACGATGCGCCAAATGGGTTTGGAATAATTCAATCCTACGATACGCTCTACTATCAGGATGAGGAAGAACTACGAAAAAGGGAAAATCAACTGGAGGGAGATATTTACAACGAAACGGCAACTCAAAGAAGATTCCACCTACTTGAGGAAGTAAAGGACGAGCCTATTGAAGAGGAGGATCGCCCTCAGCTCTCAAATCTGTCCAGTTATCAAGTGAAAAAAGAGGACCTAACAAATCACATTCAAAGCAGTTATCCTGCCATTTTTAATGTCAAAAATAATAACATGGAGGAGCCACATCCGTTCCAGTGTCCCGATTGCCCAAAGTCCTTTTTACAAAAAACAAAGCTTCAGCGACACGTCAAGACGCACTCAGGGGAAAGACCATACACATGTAGCTACTGCCAGGCGTCCTTTTCACGAAGCGAACACCTTCAGCGACACGTTCGGAAACACACAGGAGAACGACCCTACAGCTGTACCGTATGCCAGTCGGCCTTCACACGAAAGGAGCATCTCCAGCGACATACAAGGACGCACACCGGAGAACGACCGTACAAGTGTACCTATTGCCAGGAGTCTTTTCTCAAAAAGGAACATCTCCAGCGGCATTCCCGGATCCACACAGGAGAACGACCCTACCAGTGTAGCCATTGTCACGAATCATTTTCTAGGAGCGAACATCTTCAGCGGCACGTTCAAACCCACAAAGGAGGAGAATGACAGAGTTGGTCCAGAATTGAGGCTGTATCTTTACAATCAGTCGGGGACTGTCCAGGATCCTGTCAAATTTGTTGACCAATGTTTTCCTGCCTTTAACATAAGTTTTCGAATAACTAGTTTTAAGGGAAATTGAGCGAAGAACAGTAAAGGGAATGAGGTTTATGAGGAAGCGTCTAAAAAACTGAATTATTATTTGAATAATGATTAATCATAGACGATCAAGGCTACAGATTTAAAACTTTTGAAAACACAAACAATATTTAAACAGACTTTATCTCTAAAAAACAGGAAAATAGCAATACTCATTGTTTTTGTTTTTTAATATTCATTTCAGTCAAAGGGTTGTAGTTCCTTATTATGAATTCAAGAGAACTTTTTACTTATTTGTAATATAATAGTTTACTTCACAGTTTCATTTTGTTCACACACTAAAAAACAATTGGTCAAAAAGATCACAAAAGTTCACATAGCCACAATCTGAACAGATAACCCAAAGGAATGTTTCCAAACAATATTAAAGCAATATTTCAAGACTCTTCGGTGTAGTTGAGCATTAAGGATCCTTCGAAACTTACGTATATCCGCTGCCTGCAGGCTGCCTGGCAGCAGGATCACGAATCCCAGCAGCAGCAGCTCCAAGAGTAACATGTCCCCGTGTATTCCCAGTTCCGCTTTAAAATATACGCCGTAATTATTCGATCCGCGTCTCTTGGCGCTCGCCAGCCAACTGATAAAGCCCGCGGTACGTAAAAAACTGACCCGTATACGGCTTGTGCAATTTCCATTCTGATCATGATCTTGGACGCTGTGGAAGCTGCGGCAGGCAGTTGTTGCTGCTGCTGCTGCAGTTCAATGACGGAGATTAGTCCGCTCCCGCATGGGGCGCGCGAAATGTTTGAATGCCCCCGGGTTTGGCACTTTCGTTGACACTGGCCCCTCGGGTAATTTGCAAATAAATTTCATGACGTCGCATGGTCAGTGCCAAAATGCCCTACACAATACCGGTCCTGAGTATGCTTATTTATGGATCTCCAGAGGCAATGATAATCTCACTCGTACTTATAGGTCATCTATGGAATCAACCAGGCCGACGGACACTACGCCTCTATCAGCACAGCTATATTTTTATACCCTTGCAGGGTATTATAATTTCAGTCAGAAGTTTGCAACGCAGTGAAGGAGGCACCTCCGACTATATAAAGTATATATATTCTTGATCAGGATCAACAGCCGAGTCGATTTAGCCATGTCCGTCTGTCCGTCTGTCCGTCTGTCCGTCTGTCCGTCTGTCCGTCTGTCCTTCTGTCCGTCTGTCCGTCTGTCCGTTTCTACGCAAACTAGTCTCTCAGTTTTGAAGCTATCTGAATGAAACTTTGTAGTTAGCCTTCTATATACTCTCACTCGTATATATGTCGGAACGGGCCGGATCGGACGACTATATCATATAGCTGCCATAGGAATGATCGGAAAATTTTTTTAAAAAAAATTTTAACTTTTTCAGTTTTCAATAGAATTGAATCAAATTTGAGATATAGCCATTTTCCTATACTCTACAATTTGCATAAAATTTTATAAAAATCGGACTACTATATCATATAGCTCCCATAGGAACGATCGAGAAATTAATACAATTAAATGTATAACTTTTTTAGTTTTCAGCTGAATTTCATCAAATTTAAGGTATAGCCATTTTATATTAGTCTTAAATTTTGTGTCAAATTTCATAAAAATCGGACGACTATATCATATAGGTGCCATACAAACTATCGTTTGATGTAGAGGAAAAATGCAAATCTGCGAATGTAAAACTGAAAATATAATATGTATAGGTGAATGAAATGAAAGCAGGTATTACTTCATTGTTTTTTAACACAAATAAATATAATTTATATTGTTGAGATTCCAAGTCATAGAAGTTATATCTGCAAGGGTATATAAACTTCGGCGTGCCGAAGTTAGCTTCCTTTCTTGTTACAAATATGTCAAAACATTGGGTTTGCTGTAAGTATATTTTTGCATATTGTTGACTAACCCAATTTGCTGTGTTTACCCGCCGAAATTATACTTGACATTGAACGTGAAATCGGGGTATCAGGCCATCGATTAGAATAGAATATAATCTTTTTTAAAGGAAATATTGTTTAATAAATATTCGCATTCATTGAATCAATAGTTGTATGTGCTAATTTCTGGGTGTATCAAAGCTTTTAAAATATCATTACTAAGCCAAAAATGCATTAATTTCAATTCGGAAAGAACTCTTATGTTAGTTTTTAGTAGTTTAATAAATCTGCAATTATGAATTTTAAAAAATTGATTTTTTTTGCCATATTTTGCCAATTTTTTTGAACGGGCATAGCTAGTTTGATTCAGCTGTTGATGCTGATCAATAATATAAAGAAAATATAGGGTCGGAATTGACTCTTTCACTGTGTTTCAAGCTTCTGACAAAAATTATAAAACCCGGCAACAGTATAAAAAAGACAAAGCTTAGTACTCTGTATGTAACAATTTAATAAATATTATATGTTGTAATTTTTGGCTGAAAAACCACCGTGAGTTGAATTAATGTCTCATATTTAAGATAATTCTTATTGAGATTCATTAAAAAAACAATAATAAACAAAGAAGCCATAAACAAACATTACAAAACACTTACATGTCATTCGCTTAACAACAAATTAAGTGTTCATTTTTGCTGGTTTGTAAGCGAGGATAATTGACAGATCTGCAATTACCTTTAATGTCGGTGGCTTCCAGGCGACTTTTTGGGTATTGGGGGACCCGGAGAACTTGCGATGCCAAAGCCGTACCCGGCGGGCCACTAGAAACCAGCAAGCGTGTCCGCGAACGTCAGTGAAAATTTGCCAAAATAGAAAAATACAAATAGTTACAAATTAACAAGCAACGGGGAGTGCGCGCGCGCGCGCCTTCGTCATTTTAAATCACTTAATATGCAGGGGATGGCATTCAATCGTAGATACAAAAAACAGATATCCAAACAATCCAATCCAGCCACTAGAATGAAATTATTTCGGGGAGAGCGTTGTCAACCGTTAAGAGCCGCAGAGGGTGGCGGCTCCCAGCTCCCACCTCTCGTCTAATCTTTTAATGAGCTGGCTTCGCTGAATGATTGTGTCAAAAAGAAAAAAAATATGATTGCTTCTACTTTTATTTTTGTTTTTCTTGGCTGTCAGAGCTGGGAGGGTACAGCCGGTTTTGGCAATGTGGTATCCACAGTTCTTGTCGGGCTCTTCTAGCGAGCGGTCACAAAAGAGAAAACACTTTCCTCACATTCCCCAACAAATTCTCAGTCAAATAATAACAAGTCAACGTGTCCGGCGTCAAGTCAATATTTGATTAGTGAGCTCATTAGCTGGCCAGGACTAAAACGACAGTGAAGGACCTTTCACACAATGAAACAATTTCTGTTCCTGCTACTTCACCTGATTTCACAGCCGCTGATTCAGTCGCAGACCGCACTAAGTACGTTAAGGAGGATAGGATTCAGAATCATCCTGAGGAGTTTAATATTTTTTAAATATTTCCTAGGCTATGAGCAAGCACGCCAGGCAGTTCTTACTGCCGAGGAGGAGCTCATGACCGGTGGACACACATACCTGAGCACGCAAGAGGCCAAAGTGGACGATATCTTTATGGAATATAAACTCGGAGAGCTGTCCCAAGGATTCCGGAATGCTGAGCAGAATGCAGCTGCTCTGCATTTTTTTAAGGCCAAGCCGCTGATCGATCGGAGTGGTGTCTTTCGCTTTCTGCAGAAGATGCCCAAGGGAGCGGTCCTGCATCTGCACAATACCGCTTCCGTGAGCTCCAAGTGGGTGGTCCAGGATATATCCTATATGCCCGGTATGCTGCGCTGCACCACCGCCACGGGTCGCAGTGTCCTGTCCTTCCGGCGGACACCCAAGGAGCACCAGTGTCAGTCGCAGTATGTCCGTGTGGCCGACGAGCGACAGAATTCCGTCGACAGGCAGGTCTACGATCAGAATTTCGAGCGCCTAATCAATCTTTATACGCCAGTTCCGGAACGTAAGTCTGAGGAGGATCATTTCTAGTCAGTGTCCTTTATAATTACCTTCCATTTCAGTGGAATATCCCACAATCACCCATGTTTGGGATCGCTTTCAGGACATGTTTGATGTTATCGGGGATGCCCTCGCCTACTTGCCTGCCTTTCGAGCCTACCACTGGCAGATGCTCGAGGAGCTCTATAACGACAATGTGATGTATGCGGAGATCCGCACCAGCTGCAAGAAGGTTATTAATATAATTTTTGTGGATTTCTAAACCCATTTTCTTTCACTTACCTGGCTTTATCATTTCAGCTTTATGATGCCAGTGGACGCACCTTTCCCAGAGAACGAACTATCCGGGAGCTGTATGCCTTGAACGAGAAGTTCACCAAGTTACATCCGGACTTCCTAGGTATGAAAATCATTTTCGCCGTCTATCGAGGCTACGAAGTGGATCAACTTAAGGAGACCATTGAGGAATTTAAACAAATCCAGTAAGTGAATGAGAATTCCAAACTTCAAGACCTGGATTTCAATTCTCCACAGCGAAATCTTCCCACAGTTTGTGGTTGGATTTGATTTGGTGGGTCAGGAGGATAAGGGCAAGCCGCTGTATACTCTGTTGCCTGCCTTGAGGGATTTGCCACCTACAGCTCGCCTATTTCTGCACGGTGGAGAGACAAGTAAGTGGTGTGGCCGTCCTCATATTTAATTCAAAGATATATATGTTTATCCTCTTCAGATTGGTTTGGTGCCTCTACGGACATTAATCTCCTGGACGCTCTACTGCTCAATACTACACGTATTGGTCATGGTTATGCTTTGGCTAAGCATCCCATTCTCATGAATGCCGTCAAGACACGCCATATCGCCGTGGAGGTGAGTCCCATATCGAATCAGGTGCTGCATCTGGTTTGGGACATGCGTAATCATCCGGGTTCCCAGTACTTGGCTTTGGATGTTCCTGTGGTGATTTGCAATGATGATCCTGGATTCTGGAATGCCAAAGGTCTCAGCTATGACTTTTACTATGCCATCATGAGTCTGGCTCCCAATAATGCCGGCCTGCGGGTTCTGAAAACTCTGGTTTGGAACTCTGTGCGCTACTCCACGCTGACGGAGGAGGAGCAGACGCGTGCTTTTAAAATACTGGAGCTAAGCTGGACACGTTTTATGGAGAAGGTCCTGCAGGGCAGCGTCTTCTGAATGGGGTGATTACAAATTCAGTAAAGGTTTTATTCATTTAATTTTCTTCATCAGTTTTTAGTTGTCTCAAGAATTTTTCGCAGCTCTCCAGGATTTGTAGATAGGCCGTATGGAAGCCGCCCATACCTTGACTCTGTAAAATTGAAGATTCTTTTAGTTAGTTTTAATACATTGTTATTTTTCGCATTTACAAAATATGGATCCTGGATAATTTCGTCTTCCTTGCGTCCTATGTAGCTGCCCAACAGTTGAATCTTACTTTTGGGAGGAGTCGCCAGCCTTGAGGCCATTTGTTGAAGCTCCATCAAGTTGCTGTTGTCCATAGCCAGGATGTAATCAAAGTCCATAAAGTCCTGCGGTGTTATCTAACGAAAAAATTCATAAGATGAGAAGGTGATAAGGGGATTTACTGGAATTTGTTACCAAACGGCCCAAGTGCTTAGTTTTAAGACCATGCTGCTTCAATATATCCAGGGTTCGTGGATTTGGCTCAATGCCCACATTCCAATCCCTGAGACCAGCACTGTCCACAAGCCAGTCCCGATGATTTTGCTTCAAAATCAAATGGCTAAGGATGGCCGCAGCCATAGGAGAGCGACAGGTATTTCCTTTAATTAAAATTATAAGCTTTTTAAATATAAGTCAATATTGTTAAACAACTTACCAATGCACACAAAGAGAACCTTCATGTTCAGTGTTAAGAGCTGCAAGTTCCGGATACTGCTGCTGCTGATTCATTTAAGAACATAAAAACAAGTTCACGATTTTGTACTTGACATTTATTAATTTAAATAACAAAGTATAATTCACTACTAGATTCACTTTTGCAGCCGCTCTTTCATGAAGGCGGCACATGCCACCACACACTGCTGATAGGCGGTCTCGAAGCCCTCCGCTCCACGTTCCTGGAATGTCACAGAGAGGTCAAGTTCATATAGATTACATTCTCCTTAAAAAAAAGAAGACCCACTTACATAGTAGGGATCCTCTATGATACGGTTCTTCTTGTCCAAACCAAAGTCACCCAGCATAAGGAGTTCCGCCTTGGAGTCCTTGGGCGCCAGGCGTCGCAGCTCGCTCATGTTTTCCTCGTCCATGCCGAAGATGTAGTCGAACTCGTTGAAGTCCTGCTTCCGGATCTGGCGCACTATGTGGGTGCACTTAAGGTCATGTTGCTTCAGAGTGCTGATGGCCCTGGGATCCGCCCGGTTTCCCACATGCCAGGAGCCAATGGCGGCGCTATCCACCTCTACATCCGACATCTTGGCTTTGGCCAGCGTTTCCACCATTACAACTTCCGCAATGGGCGAGCGGCAGATGTTGCCTGAAAAAACAAAAGCCGTCGTGGTTGGTTTTCCAAGGCAAGAGAAGGATTCAATGGACTTTAATTACCCAAACAAATCATAAGTATTTTCTGCACCATCTTTCTAAACGCACTTTACAAGTAATTTTACCGGCTGATAAACGAGGGCTACCTCTACTTCAGCCCTGATTTTGCTGTCAGCTGTTCCGCCTCTTAACCCTTAGGCGGTCGCATGGGATTCGTTTACAAAATCTGCTGCTGGCGCGCTTGCTCCAAGAAATTCTGGCAAGCTATGTGACACTTTTGATAGATATTTTCGAACGGTGCCTCGCCCACAGTCTGTCAAAAATAAAATTAATAATTATTTTTTAAGTATGTAAAAAGATTAAATAACCCTGTCATTCTAGACTTTAGGTAAATATTTAAGAGTTTATCCTCTGAATTATTTGATTATTTTTATACATTTGTATAGGAAATACCAAAGATATATACAGATTCTTGCCAGCATAGCATAGCTCATAACCACAGCCCAAGATTATGCTTCTGGAAAAGCATCTGCCATATTTTATACAAGCTAATAATTAAATATTACAACAAAAATTATTTAGCTAAACTCCTTTAAAAAATAAAAATTATATAGAAAGTCGATTTTTATATAACCTTGCAGGCAAAAGTTATTAAAGTAGAAACAAATTTATATAAATCAGTCTTGAGATAAATCTTAATTAAAATTTATTTTAGTAGCTAATTTTCTAGTGATTTTATGGACTTCCTGAGGAAACTATATATTTATTATTATGTATATTAAGTTGTTTCTTTTAATGACAGGTATATCGGCATATAGAATATCATTCAGATATAGTTATAAACTGACTTGAAAGTAAAAATAGAAGAGGCAAACGGACAGATTGTCATTGCCATAACAAATCGGTTATTTATACTGATTAAGAATATATATTAAGGTAAGATATGTAACCAAATTATCTAGAAACTCACATAATATGGATCTTCTATGACACGATCATCTGGTTTGAGGCCAAAATTCCCCAGCAATAGTACTTTGGCTGTGGCATTATGCGGTGCCATGCGCTTCAGTGCGGCCAGATTACTCCTATCCATGCCGAAGATATAGTCAAACTTCATGAAGTCCTCAGTGGTCAGAACCCTTGCATAGCCAATGTAGCTGATGTTATGCTTGGCCAGGACTCTCAGTGCCCGCTCATCCGGAATGCATCCTGAGTGCCAGCCCTCGATCGCTGCGCTCTCCACGTGCCACTCCTTCTGCAGACCCGCCCTGATGATGACCTCATCCATAACCGCTTCGGCGATGGGGGAGCGGCAAATATTACCTATGGGAGGGGAGCGGCCGGGCCATTTGCATATTAATAAACGAAATTCATGTAGGGATTATCCTAAGTGTATACGCACCCACGCAGACCATCAGCACTCTGGTCTTTTGCGATATCTTTCCCATGGCTCAGCTCAGAGTTTGGGTGTCTTTGGGGTTGATTCGGTAATTCTTGGATGGAACTTTACAAATTTTGAAGATAATTATAGTATTATACAAATATCTACAAAAAATAATGTGTATATAATAAATATAATGTGAGAAGGAGCGTTTTCTGTGGTAAAATGACTTAAAAACTAAATTTACTAGATCTATATATGTAAAATTGGGATTATTTATTGATTTTATTAAGTATAAATATATAAATATTAAGAATAACATGACATAATAAGAGAGATTTGATACTATGTCTGGATACATAAAAAATAAAACAATTATATGAAGTGCATGAAAGCAAAACAAGACAGAAATCTAACTTCGGGTATCTAACTTGCAGTTCACAATTAGGCCAAAAATTGGAAACTTAATTTAATCATAACAAAGCCAATAATGCATTTATTTTAATTCGGTAAGCGTTTCTATGCCTGGTTTAATAGGGCTAACAAATCTGCATACTCAGATTTAATATTGAAGAAATTCAATATTTTATCAAATTTTAACAATTTTAACAATTTATAAAATGTTCAATTTTTTCGAAAATTTTTGAAAAAACTAAATTTTGACCGGATAAAGCTAGATCGACTCGGCAGTTGATGCTGATCAAGTTGATCAAGATGCTGTGTTTCAAGCTTCTGACTAAAATTATAGTACCCTGCAAGGGTATAAAGGACTTCCTATTAAATAGCCCGGCGAATAGCACAAACTCTGTTTAAATATTCCAATCATATAAACAATTTAAAAATCACACCAAGTCCAAATCATCACTTGAACAGGCAACCTGGAGTTTGGGTTTTTATAGTTTGTCAAGTGGTTCCTGCCTGCATAGATCACACCTCCGGCACTTCCGGCTGCTGCAGCACCACATCCTGTTTACCCACTATGCGTATTTACCCCGAAACTGACTAAAAACTGCGCTCACAGCAACTTCAACTATTAACATTTAATTAAAGTTCATTTGCCGGGGACAGACGAGGTCACTACCACCGACGCCCAGCCTTGGGATAGGCCACCTGCTGCCTGGTGGAAAAAACTTTTCCCAAGTGGAATGAAGAGGTGATGAGCTCTGGTCTCGGTCTGGGTCGGTACTCCTAGACTACTCCTACTTTTAATTTTTGTTTCGGCTTGTATATGCAAGGATTGCATCTCCAGCAGCTGCTCCATCCACCCAAAGGCAGGACGGGGCGGAAACTAGGAGCAGGTGACCAGTTCTGGCAGAGAAATATAAAGTTGCTTTTAGAATAAATTCGGTTTGTTTTTGAGTTTTATGCAAATTGTATACAACCATCGGAGCAAACAAAAGCCAGACGTTGTATATGTGCATAAGCTTTTGCCGGTTTGCCGTAGTTGTTGTTTTGGGGCGGGGGTGGGCGGCTTTGATGGCATCAAAGTGAGCTTGTCGTTGTGCAGACAAATGTTACGTACTCTCGTCACACTCTTACATATGCAAATGTCCCCAGCCGGCGCTGCTGGTGCTGCTGCTGCTGCAGTGCGTCCTCCACAATTGACAATTGTTGAAAATGCAAATGGAAATGGAAATGGAAATGCCAAGACATGTGCCCAAGAGCAACACCAGCAATTCAGCAATCCAACAATCCATGCATATGCCCCCGCAGAGGAGGGAGTGCAGAGGTGAAGACAAATGCAAAGGCGTTGTCACTGCTATCATCATCCGGCGACGACATCTCCTCAGATAAGATAAACGATGGCAGAGTCAACACTGCAACCACTATGAATCAGGCGATGGCATAAACTCGGAGAAAATGCGTAAATCATCATTAACTGGCCTTAAATCAACTGCCATAAGGATAACACAGATGCCTCAAATACGTTACAGCTTTGAAATCAGGTGAAAAGCAGCCTAAAGTATCTTACGAAAGGCTTAAATATTTTAATTTTATTAAGGATTGTAAGGATCCTTTTGACGGTTTCTATCTGCCTAAGAAATTATTAATAAAAAGCAGATGCTATCTATTTAATGTTTTTAATTGGCATATCAAACTTCTTGCAGTGTAGATGGGATAGGTCAGTGTAAATAAGTGAATACCTCATTCGTAGCCGCACCGCAGGCCGAAATAAATGTTCAAGTGCAAATGAGGTAAGTGACAAAAGGGGTTCGTAACAATCATAACCTCTGTGGTACCTCCCTCTGTACCTAGGCCAGGTTCTCCGACCGTCCCTCGGCTGAGCAGTTGTCAGTCGAGAGCAAACATGTCCGAGAAGAACATCCATTTTGCATTTGGCAAATGAAAAGCGGAAAAGCTGACGTACTACTAGCTGGCAGACAGCCTGTCTATGCACTGCGCGCTATCTCTATCCAGCTGTATCCGCCTGTACCTCATTGTATCTTGTATCTGTATCTCTGCCTCTGTCTGCCTTTTGCAGCTTCATCAAATATTTAGCGCCAGGCAGGCGTCGTCTTCCTCTCGGGAGGGAGTGGAGGAGCGGCGGGTCGTACAAATAAGCGCATTCATTGTGCTCGTTCAGTGTAAATACGAAACGGACGTAGCACTGCTTGGAAAATAACAACTTTGAAGACAACTTTGGGGTCTAGTCTAGACTCGGGGATACTGTGAGGGAAGTCTTGGTAAAAGATATTTTTTACTACGATTTTAAGATCCATTTTATACTGAAAATTACATTTTCAAAAATGTTTAGGAGTTCAAACATAAGTCATATACAAAGATGCCACAGAATTTGAAATAGATTTTGAATCTATTGCAAACAATTCAAAAAGTATACAATGTAATATTTTTTAAATAGTTTCTTTGTTTTTAACAATACTTAATTTATTTTACATTAACACAGTTATATAGTAAATATTTCCAAATAGCTTTTTGAAAGTTATAATATCCAGCCATGGATTGTTCACAATATTGCTGAAGCATCCCAGAATTTCCATTGATTTTTATATTATTATTATTTATGTAAATAATAACCTTTTTATATCTGTACTATATATATATGCATAATTTCGGAGCTTCGTGTCTAAAGCGTTTCAATTATCGTGCTCAATACTAATAAATAAAACAAACTTTAATGGCATCGCATGGAGTTTTCGTTTATTTGTTAATATTCAACTGTCCTCCCACACACCCGATGCTTGGCGGAATATACCCCTGAAGCAGATGATATTAACTTTATAGAGAGACGGGAAAACTACCCTGCAATATATTGGGGGTGGACCTCACAGAGCCAACGACCAGAGACAGCAACATCAACAACATCAACAGCCACTGGCACAGCCAAAAGCCGGCAACAACAAACCGCCGACACACTGGCAACATGTGGCAAACGTGGCAGCGTAAATGTTGCCAGAATGCAGTCGTGTTGGCAATATTTATTGCAGCTACTTGTACACAATGGACAAAATAATAGGTATGACAGTTTTTATACACTTGGATATTTTTTGAATATTTTTATATAAGCCAAAATGTTGGGTAAATCAGGGTTTTTTAAATATCAGAAAGTCAAAAATGTATTCATTTCAATTCGGAAAGCAGTTCTGTGTTAGCTTTTGTTAGGTTAACAAATCTGCGTACTAAGTTTTAAAATTTAAGAAATTCAATTTTTTGTCAAATTTTGACAATTTTAATGATGTAAATGTAAATTTGAAATATTTTGTTAAGTTTAAATTTTGTCTGGATATAGCTTGATCGATTCCCCTGTTGATGCTGATCAAGAATATATATATATATATATATATATATATATATATATATATACGGTCGCAAATGACTCCTTCGCTGCGTTTTAGTCTTCTAAATGAAAGTATATGCTCACCTATTATTTTGTCCATATGTGTATGTGTATACAAGTATAATGTTGCCAGCAACATCGACGCGTTTTGAAAAACTTGTTTTCAACGTAGTTGGGTTTAGTTTATTTTGTGACGGCAACGCAGGTGGACGGGAGCGAAATTGTACCGCAGAGCGCGAATCGAAACGTAAGCGGACCGCGTTATAAAAATATACACCAACAGCAACAAACAGAGGTTCAGTGTTTGTCTTTAGTTTTATGGCGCGCGCGTCGCGACAGGTAGTTTTCACAGCGATATATATATGTATATATATTTTTTGTATTTCGCCTCACGGGCGATTTTATGGCTGACAAAACCGTCGAGCGTGTAAAGGTTGTTAGCAGCAGCACGCTGTGTACTGTATTCTGCGTGAAAAGTGCCCGTGCCAGTGCCAGAGATTCAGTGTTTACCCGCGCCGGGATTACTCATCGCATCATCCATCTCAATCGAGCGACGAGCAGCGCCAGCAACTCCACTTTGGTGGTTTCTCCGCTGGCATTACAGGCACAACTTTACAAAGTCCCGAAACCAGTATCTCAGCCAATGTATCTGTAAGATACGAGAGAGCCAGGCCACTCCACATATTGGAATTTACTTAACACGTATGCAACGCACCAATACCAGCAGCCAGCACACCGCATCTTGGATCGCCGTCTATTGGATTTTGGACACTACTCACGCACATCCCAGGGTAGGTAGTCTTTCGTAGATCTGTGTCCCTTTCCCAGGAAAACCTTTCGCACACACAGGCAGAGGCACTGGCACTTGTCCAGCTGCATTTGCCTTTCCACCCTCGATGTACGCTGGCTAATGAATCCGACCTGCCTCTCGGCTACCTGTCCCCTCGCACGGACGGTCGGTTTTCCCATTAGCCGCTAGAAGATTTCACTGCACATATCGAAAGCTATGGCTATTTATAAATGCCCTGCTCGGGGAGCCCGGTCCGACCCGGCTTACGCGCCGTGCGTTACGGGCTCCCTGGCCTGGCCCAGGCCCAGGCTCAGAACCGGTTTCAGGAGTGTCGTGATACCTTTCCCCGCCTGCCCCATATCCCATATATATGTATAGGTACCATGCCATATCCCATGTCCCATCCGATGTCTGGCGGGGCTCCAACATCAATTCAATTTCTACTGGCTGAGTGAGTTTTTAACTCCAGCAAATGACACGGTAAAAAATAATGAAGATCTCATGGATTCCACTCAAAAGATCAATCAAATATTTAAAGTATAGTTCATTAAACTTAAAATCTGAGTTGATAGGTGTCTATATTATACAAGAAAGGTTTGTAGCCGAAGTTCTTTTTACTAGAAAACTATCAGTTCGATCCGTGATTATAACTTTGTTTTAGATATAACCCAATATATTATAGAAAGTAGTAGTTTATCAATCAAGTTCTTTATAGTTATTTTTTCTCTGTGCAGAAGAATCTCCAGGTCGAGCATCTTCGCTTCCAACTCTGGAGCTGGTTTCGAGTTGTTTTCTTTTCCCTCGCTTTGTTTTCTTTTCTTGAGCTTCGTTTCGTTTTCGTTTTTTACTATTTGCCAATCGTGTTGATCATGATCATGATCACGTTGCCGCTGAATCTGATGCTGTGGCTTATTGCCGCCAAGATTTTTGTTGTGGAAGAAGGTGCATGGCCTTATTTACCCAGTTTCCAAATCGCTCACCGATTTGTGCTTATTCTTCTCCTACGTCTCCCTCTTGTCCGAGGTATTTGCTGAATCACACACTGCCCCGTGGATCATTTGAATTTGTTAGCCAGGCAGTCACTGGAATTGGAAACGGAATCGGGTTTTTAGTGAAGTCACACCCAGCAGCATGATGGCGGGTTGGGCAAGTATCCCGCTCCGGATTTGACTCACGGCCAAACAATGCGACATGCGGAGAGGGAATTGTTGTGGGTCTGCCGCTGGCACGACAAAAAAAGAGAAAAATCAAAATGCAAAACTTGTTGCTAATAAGCAACAATTACAACAACAAAAACAAGTTCAGCTAACCACAAAAATGCTGGCAGCCAGCTCTAGAGAGTGGAGTCGTTGCCCAGGAGCTCCGCGCACCAAAACAAGTCGCAGTAGAAGCCACAATCGCTGCTGATGTTGCTGTTGCTGCTGCTGCTGCTGTCACACTAGCTAGCAGCAACACCAAGAGCAACAGCACCAATTTGTTGTTGATGCACAGACAAAAACTGTGTACTAACCAGAGTGTTATTTGTCCTATTAAATAGTTAGTTTGATAGAAGTAATTTCAGCTTTGAAGCTTGAAAGCCCGAGTGGACAGCAATGGTTATTATCAGAGCCCTGCTATGAAATATATTTTAGTTTGTAGTCCGGCTAAAAAAAGTCCCCAATAACTTTTGCCCCAGTGCATGTATATTTTTTGTGTCCCCATGTAAAGACCATATAGAAAAAGCCACCAAGTGGCCAGCTGCCTTGACTATCTTCTGGTAGAAAGACCAAAGACCAAAGACCAGAGAAAACGATGTAGCTGAGTATCTGCTGCGACAGCCATAACTGTGTCAGTGTGCAACTGGAAGAAGTCCAAGCCTATTAAGCTCAGCGGCTTAAGATCGGACCGATGTTAGGAGGTGGTAATGCCTCCCAGGCGATTAAGTGTAATTAATGCCGACAGGTGTCGCAGAATTGGCGCAAGCTCAAAGAGACTGCGCTGTTGCCCTAATTGGCTCCTCCAATTAGGTGAGGAGGCTCTCTGTTCTGACTACACATGCGCCTCAAACAGGCGACATATAAATTAGGCGCTCATTTTATTAACGTGATTAGCATGTAGACCGCTGTCGATCGTTGGCACTGCCATCCCATCCATCTAGAATCCTAGATCTCTTCCTGGCTGCGGCGAACGCAGCGTGTAACCTTACGCTTGAACTCCTTGAAATCCTCGCGCCACTCCTTGGCCGCGTCTACGTTGGCAGCCGACTCATCGTTGGGATCGGTCAGCATCGAGATCACCGAAAGGAGGATCGTCTCTACGGTATGAACCGGCAGCCAGCGCTCCTCTGCCTTCTCGTAGCCCCATTTGTCATCCCCCGGCTCGTGGAGGATCGAGATGCAGACGTCGCCGGATTTGTCAATATTCGGATGCCAGATCTCCGTTATGAACTTCATGCGCGGCGGACGTAACGGGTACTCCTTGGGGAAGATGAGGTGGGCCTTGAAGCACCCGCCCTCGTAGAGGGTGTCGGGTGGGCCGATGATCACCACCTCCCACTTGAAGATGTCAGTGTCGCTGACCAGGCCGGCGGAGAAGCCCTCGACCGGATTGAGTTGCAGCTCGGCGAGCTGTCGATTGAGCAGTAGCGATGCTTGCAGTTCGGACATGTCACTGGGCTGCACAGTCAGATCGATGAAGATTGAGGTGGAGGTTGGATTGGAGGTGGTTCTACTTACTGGAATTTTGTTCACAAATTTTCGAGTCTCTTTCTGGTTTCCTATTACAGCTGCTGAACTACGCCGAATGCTACCTACTACTACTGCCAAAAGGCAGACAGTGAAAGCTCAGGCACTGGATTTCTAATATCGATTCAGGTCCCAATCAAGGGGCTCTAGGTTGGGGGTTTAATATAGAAGTATTTTTTGAAATTACAATAAATTAACATTACTTATTCAATTTAAAGCTCACACAGAAAGGCTTCCCTTGGAGCAGGATGTCTGAAGGCCTGAAAACATCAATCCGCAAATGCCAGATACTGGAATGCAATCTCTTTACAGTAGTGGCAGCATCCCTTTGAACGGCTTTGTATAGAAACTATTCCATAGAAATCCTCTTAAAAGCAACTTGAAAGTTGCCATTATGAGTGCTTTTGCTCTTGGTCCGGAATGGGTCCAAGGAAAGTCAGTTTGTCCTCCTGCCTTTCCCTCCATTACGTGCAATTACTTGGCCGTTGCTAATGCCACTGTTACTTCTTTTCCTTTTCCTTTTCCTATTTTTTTTTTGCTTTTTTGCTTTTTGCCAAGCTGAATGGAAATTATGATGGCCGCCACATTGTTGCCGTTGGTTTTGGCTTTCGTAATTGCGCACAAATGTTGGCACAGAGTTTTCTGGCCTGCAACTTCGACCACGACATGTGGCTGCGGTGCCCCTGCTCTTGCATATCTATCGGGTTTTCCCTGGGCTTCTCCGCCCCCTTCGGAAAACTCTGCCAATTGCATTTTGCTGGCATTTTGAAATCCCGCCAGCTCTATAACCCCGCTCGTACTCTCGATGGGGAGATCGGACTATCGCTAACTGAAATTATGTTGCAGCAAATGTGTGAATTGTTAATGTCTCGTTGCCAGCTTGCCTGGGGAATACTGCATATATTGTGCCTCCTATAGTTGACTGACTTTTGATGCACACAAAAAAAAAAAGAATTATATTCTATATAAGATTTAAAATATAATCCCTTTTAATTTGTATATATATACATAAAGATAACGTGCCAAAATTCTCAGGGAAAAGTATCTAGAAACATGTTGAGCAACACCCATGCCATTTCATCTTTATCATCCTCCGATAGAGGGTTCCTTTAAGATATAATCCCTCTTAATTTGTATATATATACATAAAGATACCCTACCGAAATTCTCAGGGAAAAGTATCTAGAAACATGTTGAGTAACACCCATGTCAATTCATATCTATTTAGCTCCGACAGAGGGTTCCTTTCTAAAGAGGTTTAAGTTGTATCTTATGGATTACAGGAATCGAAATTAACCTTTTAGTTTGGGCAGTGTAGTAACGCGCATTTCGGCATTGCCGGTTTTTCAAGTTTTCCTTGCAACGCGTTTTCACGAAAAAAATTCCAAACCGTGTTCACTTGGTTTTTTTATGCATTAGTTGTTGTAATAATATTTACCTAGCATTGCTATTGCTGCAACAGCTAGAGCATGTGTGGAGTTCTTCTAACAGAACCAAGTCGGATTCGAAATTTTGCTAAATTATCCAGCACATGCCGGAGGAAAACATGTTTGGCCAGCAGGCTAGCAGGCACATAAGACTGACAGCTGCTGCTCGGCCGGTTCCCTCATTCTTTCCATATCTCCTCCAACTCCATCGTCATAGTCATCTCTCGGTCTCCGTTGCCCACTCCGCCCTGCCCATTTAAGTGCCACATGTCGGAGACGTTCTGCCAGTTCCCGCAGGGAAAGCGATATGACAGCGGCAGCCGGGAACTCACACGTGCCACAGCGCGGCTTCGTGTTAGAAGCGATTTTACACTGACTTTACAATTGAGTTTCGAAATCACAGCCAGAAGAGTATAATTATTTAAATGATAATGATGAAGTGAGTGTAAATTTTATGATTATGGGTTTAATATACTCTCAGAAAAAAAGTCGATTACAAATTTTGAAATATATAATGAGCATAAAGAGAAAGCATAATAATATCATTCAATTGTTGTCGTCAACTAGTATTTATCTTGAAATTAATATATTAGTAAATTATGCATAGAAACATAATTATCTTAGTAAAAGGAATAATATTTCAAGATTAAGTTAATGAATTCAAACACAGTTCAAATAATTTATTGAGTGTTTATGAAGATATATATGGCTGTTTATTTAAGATTAAATCAATGCCACATTCCTTTCTTATTTATTGTTTAATTACGAATATTTTAATGTTGTTCTCCTTGAAATTGTCTATAAATCTGTTGATTTGTTAAAACATTCTTTTGAGAATTCGATTAAGTTTCTTATTGAATTTAAGGAATTATAATAATCAATTTCTTATAAATCCCTTTCTATATTTCCCTATTTTCTTGCTATTTTTCCTTGTGTAGGAAAACTGTCGCTTTCGTGCCCATTGCCTGTGATAAAGTGCCGGCATTTCAACTCATTTCGGCTCACTTTGTGGAATTGATTTTCAATATTCATTAAGACGCCCCCACATACATCAGGCATTGCCGCGGGTTCGTTGCCTTGGCAGTGATGTCGATTAATACAGGGGTGGGTGGGCTTGTGGCTGGAGTTCATCTGTTTGTTCGCGGGTTTCCCCTCAGTTTTTGGGTGGGCGTGGCACGGTTGCATGCGACAATTGCACTTCCGGCAACAACACCAGCACTCCACTCTCCACACCCTGACATTGCTCTGCCATTTTCTCTCTTCGCTCAAACGATTCTCTCGGTTTTGGAAAAATTCTCGTTTCATTTTTATTTTGTGTTTTTTTTGGGTTTGGCCTTTGCCTCAACTGGAGCAGGTGCTCTTCCTGGCTGCGTGCCTCAAATTGCTGGCTCATGTTGCGTCCATCAAACAGCTGACGGCGTCGATCAATTGAAATTGCTTTTTTTCGCTTTCCACCATCGATGTTGCATCGCTGCTGCTGCCGTGTTGCTGCGGTTGGTTCTTGTCGCTCTGTGATGACTTCCTGCAACTAATGACTTATGGATCGTCTTGGGAGTCGTTTATAAAATGGAAAAATGAATAGCTTCTATTATGAGATGAGGTTCTTTGAAATTTAAGCAGTACAAGAACTTTTATTGAGCCTATTTCTCAATCAAACTTAAGAGAAGAAAGTGCTTCTTTGCCTTCTATATTTATATCCTTGCAGGGTCAGTCGGAAGAGAATTTTATGCTTAATTTTGATCGATTTACGATTCAATTGCAAACTGTTAGGGTACATAAACAACGACTTCCCAAAGTTAGTTCCTTGTTCTTGTTTATCTCTTTGAAAATGCATAAAAAATTAAACAAATCATGTGAGAAATGGGAGAGCAAGTAGCTCCTCTCCCTCTGCACTTCTCATAAATTCAACTTAAGTGAGTGACCAACTGGATTTCAGTGCTTTATTGGCCCTCTGAGTTATGCTATGCCCTCCCCCGGGAACACAATTTCCAATTGCATGCAGAAATATGAGCCGGAATTGCTCTGTACTCGGAGCACTGGCCATTATTTCGTTCCGCATAGAGGGAACAAAACAATGCCAAAGAGAGAACTCAATAAATTGCAGAAAAGCGAAAAGTGGAAAGAACTGAAAAATAAACAAGAACGAAACTGCAGTACCGCCAGAAACAAACACCAAACCGAAATAAAAAAAAATAGTAGTGAAGAAAAACAAGCTTTCCACTTGCAGTTTTAATGTGTTTTGTGCGTTGCTCCTCGTTTTATAATTGAGTTGGCAGTTGCAGCCAAAGTTGGAGCTGCAGCAATGCACTCTGCCTCCCTTGCAACCAACCAGCCCGCCCCATTTTCCCGGCCACAGCCCGCTTTTCCCGGGGAGTCGGAGTTTTGTGCACTCGTGTGCACTGAATGCGAAAAAGTTCCGCACACTTTTCGACTGAAACGCGATATTATTATACGTATATTTCCCATATTTTTATTATTATTCTCATAACATCTAGCCCTGCCCAGTGCGGCCTTACCTTTACATGCACTCGCCCTAAAATGGAAGCGCAGGCACAAACGCTCGGGGATCTGGTGCACGGTGGCTGCCAGTCAGACAAAAACCACCATCCTTGGTGGGTTCCGTAATGAGCGTTTCCGTCGAAACCCTATTCCCATTTTTTACACGTTTCTCAAAAATTGGTAGGAAATAAAACATAAATTTAGAAACAATTCAAGCAGCAAATGAGTTTTAAAGTTTTTAAAATAATTTAAGACAATGTTCTATAGGAAATTTAAAATATATACATATACTCATCAATCTATCTCTTTTTGCTTTCAGATTATTCCTGATACTCTGGTAAGTTATCTAAATGTACTTTCTAGAAACATAAAGAGATCTTGGGTAAAAATAAACCTTTCACTTCCTTTAGCTTCTAAGCACCCTATTTTTCTGAGTGCACTGACACTTGTTCCATCTGGGCCGCATTTAAAAGCACATTTTCTTTCTATCACCGCACAGCGGGCTTTTAAAGCTGGATCGACGCTCCATAATCGCTACATTTTTTGCTTCATTACCGGCCTTTTCCCTGCAATTGGTCTGTAAATTGTCCAAAGCCGATGAAAGATCACCCAGGAAGCCAGAAAGAGCAGCTCTTAATTTGTTCGGGCCATAAACGGCACCACTTTCCTTTCCAATGTGTGTATTTTCCGGCCGAAGTGTTGGGGCATTATGCGTGCGAGTGTATTTCATAACTCACTCTTATGGCTGGGCAAACAAATGAGCAAAAGTGTGCTAGTCTCTTAGTCCAGACTGCGAATGGAGACCAAGTCTGGAGCTGGAGCTGGAGCCCCTTCTGCCAGATGAGCCGTTAGACAGAGCTGATGGCGCCCCCAGAGTTCATTTACTCCGCTTGGCCACCAAGAAAATTCTATGAAAAGAAAAGGCTCAAAAAAATGCCCAGCAACGTTATTTGTAGTTTTTATATCGTTTTCTTTTTCTTGGCTCATATTTTGCTAGAATATTTCGGTTTTTTTTGTGTTCTTTTAAATGCTTGGCTGGGCGAAGAGCTAAGAGGGGTCAGGCGAGGAGGGCTTGGAAAAAAATCCAAGCTTGGCCTGAAAAAAGTGCTTATTAAATTTAATGACAGCACGCTGGCTTACGAAAAGCGATTCGACTTTTTTATTT